AACAAATGGGATATTATAAAACTGTTAATTATGATCACATTACAAATGACTAAATTTTGATCCCTGAAATTCTTGGTAATATTAATACCATTGTTCACTTTGTCTGGTTTTGTTGCAGTACGCCCCATATAAAAGCACCCATTAATTATTCCTGAAATAGTAAAATGTAATAGATCATGGAAAAGTAATAAATTGGTAAAAATATCATCAAACTTGGAGAACTACAATGCTTGGCTGTCTCTGCTAAAGAGTATAAATAATTATCAACAGGTCAATGTAATATATATATTGTAATGACAAATTGTAATAACAAATGGTCATATATCTGAATAAATTATATTTGTTGTTATATTAAATGTATTAAGGTTATAGAAACTAACTTGGTCATTTTGCCAAAACTCAATCACTATGCCGAAACTACAAATGAATGCTGAAACTCAATACATTGATTTGCTAGATGAATTTCCAATCTACTGGGATAAGCTCTATCCCATCTCCGATGACAATATTTACAAGTTGTTTCGTAATGGCCTTTGGTTTTTTCATCTCCTTTTTTAAAGTGGGTCCAAACTTCCGAAAATGGTCCATCGTCAGCATGTTTTCTTTTTTTATTTGATAATTCTGGTGTAATTGATGAAATTTCATATATATCATCATTTTCTTGTTGAAATTAATTATCTAAAGTATTGATGTTCTTGATCGGATACCATTATTTTAAAATTTTTTCAAAGTAATAAATTTTTACTATAAAAATATCCCACACACAAGTGATATATATCACATGGTAATAAATCCAAATTATTTTCGTGGAAAAGTTATTTAATAGACGAGTTTAATTATTCAAAATTAAATTATTTTGATCATTATTATTAAATTGTTAATGTTAATATATAATTAATGCCAATACTGGCATTAATTATTGGTAAAGTAATATTATCATTATATGCTTTATGAATCATTAGTTACGTGTACACAAACGGCTTGCACATTTTATAGTTTCGGCACATGGATTTAGTTTCAGCAAAAATAATTATGCCTTAAAGTTTCGGCATTTTGCTTGCTTGAAAACCGAAATTAAATTTTTAATTTGCCAAAACTATTGCCGAAATTTAGTAGTTAGGCAAACTTTTATAGGTCCAACCCCTCAAAATTTCACCAGTGTATGATTTTATCTTTGAACGTGATATAGAAGATCAGTCAGTAACTTTAATGAATGTTATTAAATAATCACACATTTTTGTACCCTTAGATAAAAAAGAAGAGCCAACAGATATTACCATGAATGATCCTCCCATAGAGTGAGCCACCTGAGAAATACCATTATCATCACTTCTTAGTTTCATTAATATATTCATGTAGAATTGTGAATTCAGTCAGTACTAAAGCTCGGTTTGGTTTATATTTGATCCAAAAATTTCGAACATTCTAATTTGTTAACTACACCAAACTATACATAATAACTTTACAAAAAAATCATAACTTGTAGCATGGTTTTGACGAATGTGTGCTGCAGAGTAGAGAATCCTGTTTCTAAATATATAATTCTTATACCATGGTAGTGAAGGTCCATTTCTTATCAAAATACTATGATTGAATTTTATCTATTTCATACATAATGCCATTAGATACAGCTGATTAGTTAGAAGTATATATACCACAAAAATTTGTATGTTTAGAGTTTCTATTTGTAATATAACTCAATCTTATTATTCATTATTTGCTTTATTCAAATCACCCCTTTTATTTGAATGGCTTGTTTTATTGTTTTATTTGAATTATTCATTTTATTCAACTAAACTTTCAATGTAATTCGAATACTCAAGTTCATAATGAATAAAACAAATAATATGAATAAACCTTATTCAAATAGAAACCAACAACGTTCTATTTTTTTCAATTCATATATAAAATTCATCATCTCTACAAACTTTTTAAACACATGCAGACTCTTACTGTTTTGGTTCTAAACTATAATGCCTTTGAGTAATCAAGTCTGTACATCCAGAAAAAACTCATTCAACCAGGACACTTGTTGCTATAATAAGTTTATTAGATTAGAAATTAATAAATTTAATTCTAAGGCTCCAAACGAATTGATTCGAATAATTATCATTCATTAGTATTTATTATTTAGATTTAATGCGAACTTTTTTATTCGTCATTACGTTATGGTGGCCGAAACCTTACTTAATGGGCCGAAATTGCTGAAATTACAGTAATTGGCCTAAACTTTGACAAACTAATTTTAATGGCTAGAATTGGGTGAAACTATTTTAAATAAAGTAGATTGATTTAAATACTTATTATATGTATTGAGTGAAACTAACTTTTTTTCAAAATAGTTTCGGCCACCATTGCTAAATCATATCCTTTATCAATTAAAAAATTTAAAATACACACAATCTTGGTTTAGCAGATAGTTTGGTAATTGGAAATTTTTTTCCAAAAATTCGTTTATTATTATATTATAATTATACAGTCAAGCGGACTATAATTAAATTCTTGTCATAGGGATTTTAAATAAAGTTTTCTTATGTGTCCCGTTCATCCACTGTGACGAGGTTTGACTGTATCAGAAATCCGTTATATTGAGAAGAATTTTATTATTATTATTAAACCTCGATCCATTAGTATTGATTAAATTGAGTTACACTATATTGAGATTCACTGTGTTAATTTGACATTAAAAAAAATTTAGGAACCTGATTTGATTCGAATCTAATCGAATCATTCTATAATGCCTATACTTGTCGTCGGAATTCCATAATTACGGCAAATTCGGCATTACGTATAAGCCGTAAATAATTTTCGGCATGAGACCTCAAAGTCATAAATGCCGTAAATGCCGTAAATGCCGTAAATGCCGTAAATGCCGTAAATGCCGTAAATGCCGTAAATGCCGTAAATGCCGTAAATGCCGTAAATGCCGTAAATGCCGTAAATGCCGTAAATGCCGTAAATGCCGTAAATGCCGTAAATGCCGTAAATGCCGTAAATGCCGTAAATGCCGTAAATGCCGTAAATGCCGTAAATGCCGTAAATGCCGTAAATGCCGTAAATGCCGTAAAT